AGTGATGGATTTGCGAAGAAAAGTAAGATCACTAATGAAAGAAGATTCATTTACTTTCCACGGTGGAATATATTTACTCCAAGGCAGCAATATTTTAAGCGGCAACTCATTGGTTTTAGCAAACAAAGCACTTTTAAAAATAGAAGACGGTATTTTAGGACACCTCTTTCTGCAAAGTGATGATTGAAAGTCCTTTTTTATAGTTCACCTAAAATAAAAAACAATGAATAATCAAAAATAAATGGAAATCGCTGACACATCTAATAACTAAATTTTATCTATTTTATAACGAAAATTAAAATTTTATTTCAATATGAGTGCATGGTAACCAACAAATATAACCACTTTAACCACTTTTTCACTTTTTGTTATAAACTCAGTATATTTTTATTTTATTTTTTATTTTTAACGCAGAAAGGAGTACTCCGCGAAAGTACTTCAGTCCACCCGGGTATTCGCTCGGCCAGGGTTATTTTTTTAAAGCGCGGCCGAAGCCCGCCAATTTCATAACAAACAAAATAGTCTTAAAAATGCGAGAATTTATGAATTCGAAGAAATATTGCCGCTTTAATAAAACGGCTGTATTTTTCATTTATTCGATTTTGTATGCTCACTGCGTAAACATCGTCCCCTTTGACTACGATTTCTCATCCCCGACTTTTTTTTTATATTAATTTTAAATAATATAAGTATATGTGTTATATTTTATATAAAGCCTTTGATGCTAGCGCTGCGTACTTTAGTTTATTTAATAATTTGTTTATTATGTAAGCTGTAATAAAATAAAATTAAAAAAAAATATAAAAAAAAAATATTTTATATTCATTTAAATGAACGTTAAAGTGACCTCTTCTGCCCCCGATCCCAAAATCCACAAAAAACTCGAAAATGTTCATTCCCCCTGTATGCACTAAGTGTAGGAATCCAATGAGTGTTGAAGAGCACAACCAATCCAATTTAGGATGGGTTTGGAGGTGCAATACGAAACCACTTAGTGCATACAGGGGGAATGGAATCTCTTGAAAGGATTAATTGAACGTCTTCAAAAAATTGTAATGACTGCTCATTCGTTTGGACTAGATGTACAAAGGATGTGAGCATAATCAATTCAGAAGCTCTGAGCGCAATTATAAATTATTATATGCTAATATAATAAATTATATAATAATATAATATATAATAATATAATAATATAATAATATAATAAACAATTTATAATATTGTGAGATGATTTTATTATAGTATAAAATTGTAAATGCATATAAAATTGTTATATTACAATCATATACATATATAATAATACATATATTATTATCACACGATTTTACTTATCTGTGTTTATTAAATATAAATCACATATTCATATATTCATATATGTATGTATATGGAAACGTGTTCACATATTAAATTTTAGCTTGAAAAATCTTCTTTAGGCTTTTTTATAGTTAATAAAGAGAAAAGAAATATACGCTGAAAATCCTTCACTTTTGGTTTTTAAGGTGCGGCAAAGCTGGGTTTCCTCGTAAATATAAACACTCTAAACTTTTCAGCTATAAGTTTGATAAGTGATTTTTAAATTACTAAATTTAGCTGAAAATTACAAAATAAATGTAAAATACCCCATTTCCACGGAAATTCGGTTTTTTTTACCCCTCCGCCAAAGTAATCGGAATCGTGGTATTTATTATTTTTATTCCATTACACAACATGTTGACACTATTTTTTTTGCTTGTTTACAACCACTTTCTTATTTTATGAATAAATGGATTTTAACTAAAGTCTGATATGGAATTAAAGTTATTTTTGCCCTATTCAATGTAAAATAAATGATTCGAAATGAATTAGTGTAGTGATAGTGGATATAAAAGTATAAAATATAACTGTAAAATGCATTATAAATCGGAGAAACACGCATTTTAAATTGTTGTTCTTTTGAACTTTAAATGCAAATATCTCAAAAACCATAAGTCAGCGGCCACTATATGTGTATATAATCTTGATCTGGCGGACCTCCTCTATCTTACATACCCATTTTAACTTCGAAATCCGGGGATGCTATTCAAAACCGCAGCCCTAATTTTTTTATGTTTTGTTATTTTATATCAAATAGTACAAAAATAAGTTTTATTCAATATTTAATGTTTGTTCAATTATTTTTGTTCACATAATAACAAAAGGGTTGCATTCTAACTAAAAATCAGTATTACCTTACGTACATATTTGAGAGAAGAAGCAAAAGAAATAAAGAAAACAAATAATACCCCAATGACAGGAAAAAAAAACACATTAGGTTTTCGCATATAATTCCTTTGTGCATTGGCGGCCTTGGGCCGCGCTTCAAAAAAATAACCCTGGTCGAACCAACACCTGGGCGTGCTCAGTTCTTTCCCGTTGAACTCGTTTCTGCATTTGTATTACTAACACGTAGTATTTCACAATGTTTCAATAAATTTTTTCACGTTCTATATTTAAATATACATTCTAAACAGTGAATCAAGTTCACATCTCTATTTTATTTACTTATAT